ACCTCGCTTCTGAAAGGTCTCGGATTTCAATACAACACCAGTCAGGTATATAGACTGACAGCTATGAGGTTCGAACCCACGCCCTTTCGGACTGGCGCCTTAAGCCAGCGCCTTAGACCACTCGGCCAAACTGTCGGTAAGTGCTTCAAAAATCATAGCGGAGAAGATGCGTTACACTATAGGACATGACACAAAAACGGTTCCGAACCGTTCCCGCGGAATGCGTTCTTCATCAAATCACACGAAAAGAAATTTCTAACAGCTGTGGGATACGAACCCACACCCTCTCGGACTGGCGCCTTAAGCCAGCGCCTTAGACCACTCGGCCAAACTGTCGGTAAGTGATTCAAAAATTATAGCGGAGAAGATGCGTTACACTATAGGACATGACACAAAAACGGTTCCGAACCGTTTCCGCGGAATGCGTTCTTCATCAAATCACACGAAAAGAAATTTCTAACAGCTGTGGGATTCGAACCCACGCCCTTGCGCACTGACGCCTGAAGCCAGCGCCTTAGACCACTCGGCCAAACTGTCGATAAGTGCTTCAAGATTCATAGCCGAGGTGATGCATCGCTCTGCCAAACCAGAGGACACAAAAAATGGATTGAACGGTTTCTGCGAGGTGCGATGGCACAATATCGATCAAAAGGTTTCGGTCTTGCACTACCTCGCTTCTGAAAGGGTCTCGGTTCTTAATATAAGACCAGTCAGGTATATAGACTGACAGCTGTGGGAATCAAACCGACACCCTTGCGAACTGACGCCTGAAGCCAGCGCCTTAGACCACTCGGCCAAACTGTCGGTAGGTGATTCAAAAATCATAGCGGAGAAGATGCGTTACACTATAGGACATGCCACAAAAACGGTTTCGAACCGTTCCCGCGGCATGCGTTCTTCATCAAATCACACGAAAAGAAATTTCTAACAGCTGTGGGAATCAAACCCACGCCCTTGCGGCCTGATGCCTGAAGCCAGCGCGTTGGACCACTCGGCCAAACTGTCGATGAATTCTTCAAGATTCATAGCCGAGGTGATGCATCGCTCTGCCAAACCAGAGGAGACAAAAATGGGTTGAACGGTTTCTGCGAGGTGCGATGGCACAATATCGATCAGAAGGTTTTGATCTTGCACTACCTCGCTTTTGAAAGGGTCTCGGTTCTTAATATAAGACCAGTCAGGTATATAGACTGACAGCTGTGGGGTTCGAACCCACGCCCTCTCGGACTGGCGCCTTAAGCCAGCGCCTTGGACCACTCGGCCAAACTGTCGATGAGTGCTTCAAAAATCATAGCGGAGAAGATGCGTTACACTATAGGACATGACACAAAAACGGTTTCGAACCGTTCCCGCGGAATGCGTTCTTCATCAAATCACACGAAAAGAAATTTCTAACAGCTGTGGGATACGAACCCACGCCCTTGCGGACTGACACCTGAAGCCAGCGCCTTAGACCACTCGGCCAAACTGTCGATGAGTGCTTCAAGATTCATAGCCGAGGTGATGCATCGCTCTGCCAGACCAAAGGGCACAGAAATGGGTTGAACGGTATCTGCGAGCTGCGATGGCGCAATATCGATCAGAAGGTTTTGGTCTTGCACTACCTCGCTTCTGAAAAGGTCTCGGATTTTAATACAACACCAGTCAGGTATATAGACTGACAGCTGTGGAGTTCGAACCCACGCCCTTTCGGGCTGGCGCCTTAAGCCAGCGCCTTAGACCACTCGGCCAAACTGTCGATGAATGCTTCAAAAATCATAGCGGAGAGATGCGTTACACTATAGGACATGACACAAAAACGGTTTCGAACCGTTCTCGCGGAATGCGTTCTTCATCAAATCACACGAAAAGAAATTTCTAACAGCTGTGGGATACGAACCCACGCCCTTGCGGACTG